TAAATGAATAATATGTAATTTTCGAATGATTTAGTGACCATATCACCTATTTGTAGGTCGTTGAACCCAGTTAATGGGTCAGTTAATTCACTGCTATTTAATTTACGTTGTAAAACGTTTTCTTGTTTGAAGATTAGATAACTATATTTACCTGTGAATCCCAGAGTACTGAGGAATTGCGTTATTCAAACTACCGCAACTTGTCAGCGCAGCTGTATCCAGAAATATCTTTTATTATATAGAAAAAGTCCGTCATTAATAATCAACGTAGAGCTTAACGAGGTATGGGTTCGTTTACGTTATCATGTCGAACCAGCACAAGATGAAATTAACAGGATAAACAGCCTAGGAGTTAAGATAATAGTAATATCAATAATGGCGAAAAGTATTTGGCACTGAAAGTTTTGTAGTAGTATGGTTTGTCAGATAGCAAGTCCACACTAGTTGTTAAGCTCTGACCGTTGCTGCAACCTTTACGTGGTGTTCGGGTTTGCCTATCGTGATGAACCACTCGAGCTATACTGGTTGGAATATTCGTTCCTCAAGGTCTTACCATGCCAGACAGGTCAGTTGAAGAGCGGTAAAACTAAAAGCAGCAAGTCCAAGGTCCGACGACGAAGTCGTACTGCTGACTATACAGAGGTGTGACGGCAGTAAGGTGTTTTCTTTAGACAACCAGCATGACAGCGATGCTGCTTTCACACAAGTAAGGGTGGGGTTAGAAACAGTCGACCCTAAAAGTGCACAGCTCGCCTTATCCCACGGATATCCATCTCCGGCGGTGAGGTCCCAACAAGTACGGAGCTAACATAAAAATTACCCACAGAAAGGTCGTGTGCGACCGGCCTCGAGCAGTTATCCCTTGGACGCTGCGGTCACTCTCTCAGGTCACTAAGACCACCTCTAACCCAATTTCCTTTTCAGGTACCTCCAGAAGAAACCTTCTACGGTGTGGGCAACCGGGAAGTGGTAGCCGCCCTCATACTTCTAACAGCACTCAAGACCACTCTTTTCATAATCAACCTCCCTCCTCAATTCCTACTGTTTCTCCTACATCGGCCTTTAATTCCAAACTTCCTCTTTCGGCTTCCTCCTCAAGTGTCACCATGTACAACGATTCTAGTGCGCGAAACGCTACCCCAGGTCTACTGGAACCTCGCTCCAAACTACACATTGAAGCCTTCAACGCACGCATCCTCTTTAGCTGAAACCCTAGAATCTCATACCATTGGTGTACGCTGTGTCTCCGAAACACACATACAGGATCCTAGTGTGATCATTCACTTGACCTCACCTCGGCGAAACGGAGAGCCGACGAGATACACCCTCCGTTTATCTGGCGACCCGATGGCTAGTTCTCGTGGACTGACGGGTGTAGACATAGCACTGAGGACGAGGGCAGAACAAGCACCATTAGAATGGATCCCCGTTAACAGTCGTGTATGTGTTGTTCAGCGGAACGGCTCCATAAGAATTCGGGAGGATAGAGACATACGTTGTTTCTGCCTACACTGTCACTGACAGCAGCTCGGATGAAGTGAAAGATGATTTTTACAGAAAGCTCTCTGAACTTCTTCAAAAAGCTAAACGTGCAGACATAGTACTCGTAGGAGGTGACTTTAATGTCCAAGTAGGTAGCTTAAACCAAACAGAAAGACATTTAGGTGGGTATTTTAGTATTCTGGCACAGTGAACAGATAATGGTGATCGTCTGCTGCAACTGTGCCCAGATGATTGTTTATTTTAGCAAACACTAATTTTAAGAATAAGAAGAGACATCGTCTAACATGGCGACCCTCTGCACCAAACCAACGATGAACTCAAATAGACCATATTGCCATCAGTCATTGTTGGAGAAGCTCGATTGAAGACTGTCGCTTGTTTTAAAATACCTGTTTGAACTGCAATCGTGCTCTAATACGAGCATACATTTGCTTGGGCCTCGCTGGACGCAGAAAAACCACATTAAGGAAGACCCATTAGAGTTGGACTCATTGACGAAAAGCCAAAAGTAGATTCCAGGAACAACTGAGGTCACACTTAGGCAGTTCTGAAAACGAGGCTGACCCAGATGTTGCTTGGAAAGCTATACCAACAGCTGTGGAAACAGCAGTGACATCTATTAGTAATTTGGACCAAAAGGTCACGAAAAATCAATGTATTTCTACTAAGTCTATTGCACTGATAGATTCTCGTGAACTTATCCCATCTGGCTCCGAACACGATAAAGAGCGAAAACAAATCAGATATAGATTAACCAAAAGTCTAAGGAACGACCGTGAGCAGTGGTGGGCGACGAACGCGAAAGAGATGGAAAAGGCAGAGACTGTAGGCAACACAAGACAGCTTTTCAGACTAATAAAAGAAACTGGAATAAAGAAGTCAAGTGTGAGACGATGTAATAAAAAGACGACACTCTTATCTACTATCAGCCCAGATGTTTAGAACGATGGGCGGAACACTTTAAGGTGCAGTTCAGCTACTATACAACTACCCGCCATTCCCAAACAGCCTGAATGGAACATTGAAGTAGGTTCCCCGACTATAACTGGAGTTCAGAAAGCCATAGCTAATCTGAAACGAGGAAGAGCAACTGGTCCAGATGGATCGACGCCAGAGGTGTTTAAGGAAGGTGGTCCGGTTTTAGCGACTAGGCTGACTAATATTTTGCCAAAATCTGGGAACTGAATAGAACCCCATCTGGCTAGTTGCGATCACTGATTGTCCCACTATATAGGAAGGGGTCAACGTCATCCTGTAATAACCATAGAGGGATTAGTTTGACCAATATAGCATCTAAAATACTAGTCTCAATAATTATCGGATACCTAACAAAGACTCGTGAACTGCAAACATGAAGAAATCAGGCTGGCTTCAGACCTGGTCGTGGCTGTATCGACCACTTATTCACCATTCGTCATATTTTGGAATGCAAGTATGTTTGTTGGCGTCTGACGATGGTGGTCTTTCTTGACTTAAAAGCAGCATTTGATTTTATAGATCGAAAAGTTCTGTGACAGTGTCTGTTATTGAAAGGTGTACCTCAGAAGTACACAAACTAGTTAATTCAGAGCTTATAGCGAACTATCATCTGATTTTGCAACCTTGTGTAGTTCCGTCAAGGCTATCCACTATCTCTATTTTTGTTCAACTTCATCATAAACCTAGTGCGGAAAATAACGTTATCCCTTCGACTGAATTTTCGTGCATTGATCTACCAAGAGGTCCACTTATCGACTTAGAATGCACAGATGACATAGTCGTGTTTGGTGAGGACGCTGGTAAAATGCAGTCTTTTGAGTAACAACTCCAGAATGTTTGGGATTCGTTTCTCCTTCTCTAAATGCAAGTTTTTGCTTCAGGACTGGTCTACGTCAACACCTGAACTAGGGATAGGGAGTGAAGTAGTCGGACGCGTCGATAACTTCACTTATCTTGGAGGTCTGATCAGCCGTAATGGGTTGGTGTCTGATGAAATCTCCGCGTGGATTCGAAAAGCTCGTTTGGCTTTTGCCAACTTACGTCACCTATGGCGAAGGCGAGACATCCGTCTATCAATTAAGGGACGAGTATACTGTGCGGCAGTTCGTTCTGTTCTACTTTATGGCTGCGAAGTGTGATCATTAAGAGTATAGTATACTCGTAATTTACTAGTATTTGATCACAGATGTCTTAGAAATATTGCTGGCATTTGTTGGGTTCACCGGGTAAGTGATAGTCAGGTTAGACGCAGGGTATTAAGGAATGATGGTAAATCAGTTGATGAGGTTGTGAATCCTCATAGACTAAGATAACTGGGCCACGTGTTACATGTACCTGAACACCGATTACCACGACACGCATTGGCTCAGAATCGATCACAATGGCGGTGTATATACTCTTTGTCTTCCCTTAAACTGTGAGATTAAAATTACTTTATACCTTTCTTTTTACGAAGTAATTCTTTTTTCCTGTATTATATCCTTATACACAATCTTTCTTTTATACATTACTACCATTCAAGTAATTACTTCTATGAATTTGGTGTTCACCTTGTTGTGCTAATGAGGTATGGCAACTTGTACTGATGATGCATATATGTGCCTGGTCCTACCTTGTAGCTGACTGACTGGGTTGTTAAACACTTACCTATTTAATAATGAATATCTTCAGATTTTGGGATTTATTTCGTCAATTAATTGTTTTGTAGGTAACTCAAAGTTCATAGATAGTTTTGTCACCTTTAATTGGTGCTTGTTTTATATCCCATTATAAGACCCACATCATTGTTAGGTCGTGATCAAGAGCTAATTGATGAAAAATGTTTCTAAGCTTTTTACTCGAATGCAAATTGCAAACTTTCTGTACTCTGAATGCCGAAACTACTAGATATGGCCCAAAATAGGAATCACTGCCAATTCTGATATGATTTTCGTCTACATTCTATATGAAAGCGAAATATAGCTGCATAATCGAAAAACGTTCTCTTGGTTGTATTTTTGACTGACGTATATCCAATATATTATACTATTTTAATTCACTTATTATTAAGTTTACGTTTTGTTAATTGTATTCCCCTCCTCTCGTTTGTTTCATCGTAATCGTACTTCTTTATTTGTGTGACGCGTACTTATTATGCTGTCCAGTTCTACCAGTATTTGTCTCAAATAGGTAAAGTAGGATCTGGGTCATGTATCTGGCTCTCACACAAGCACAGTTCGAGATCTTATAAGATGAACATGTACTCCGTTATTAAGTCGTGTGATAAACTTATGTGCTTATAGTGCTTGTATATTTAGAGTAGTCATGAGTTATAAAAGGAGTTCTGTCATTTCGTGAGTTTCTTTTTCTTTTTCATCAGAAACCACAAGGATAACTTTGCACTATTCTTGGAAATTCTGATTCTTTGTACATAATGTTTAGTAGTAGTGTTCGTCAGCCAGTCAGTTACATGGAACTAATTTTCTAAAAATATATTTGTGATATCTTTTTACAGTTGTGTTGGTCGAAAATATCTGGTCATGAGTAATTCAGATTTTGGTATTATTGCTTTGGAGATCTATTTTCCAAAATTTTATGTCTCTCAACATGATCTTGAAGTAGAGGACAAATGTGTGGGAAAGTATACTCAAGGATTAGGACAAACATCTCTTGGATTTTGTTCAATACAGGAAGATATAAATTCAATGTGTCTAACTGTTGTGAGCAACCTTATCAGGCGTACAAATCTTGACCTGAAAACAATTGGTTTTCTCGAGGTAAGTAATTTGCTGTTCTTTGAAATACCTAAATCGTATGTTGTGTGTATTAATTTTATTTCGCTAATATATGGAAAAATTTCGGTTAGGCTATCATTGAAGCTAGAAGAACCTTAGTTTGATATTTGAAAGTGTATTCTCACCACTTAAGAAAATAAATTAAATGTGAACGGTTTAGTGTCCGTATTTTGATTAAATTGTCAGAGTTTTCGCTTCTAGACAGTAATTTTGAGTTGGAGCAAATGACATAACGCCCTGACACTGTGGTTTAAATTCACCAATAGTCAATATAAACATTCGCCTCTTAATAGTGACCTTTCGAAAGATTATACATATTTCTTACGAATACTTCTTAGTTGTATTTATTCTTTCTGTCATACTTATCGCATCATAATACTACCATGTGCAGAAAAATATCATTGTGTAGACACACTGTAGTGAACAGGAACACCCGTGGGGACAATCGAATGTATTTAACACAAAATTACTGGACTTGTTAATAAAATCTAACAATCATAAAATGAATGCTTAATTTGCAAAATGTCCACCAATTGTCTCAAAATGACTCAGACTTCGTTGTTCTTGCATTTTCATACAAATTGCATCCTGCTTCTATACTTTACTGTTCAATCCTCTTGTCTCTCTGCTGCCAGACCTTCTGTTCATGACTAACATCATAAACTACTTATGTCGGTATAAATAGCACACACCACAGTACTACTTGTTCTTTGCAATCGATTCGTGGATTACGTTCTTAGACGTTGTTATGTCAAATAACGTTTGCGTTTGTTTACATTTTAATTGATCTTGGTTTTGATAGGATTAGTAACTAATCATAGTTAAATTATAACAGTCCAATCGCTTACAGAAATGAGTACTTTCTTACATCCGTATAATTTTAAGCAATAAAAGTTTCTGTGTTTAATTTATAGGTTGGAACAGAAACGATTATAGATAAATCAAAGTCTACAAAAACCGTACTAATGCAATTATTCGAAACAGCTGGTAATTTTGACGTTGAAGGAACGGATACAAAGAACGCGTGTTTCGGTGGTACCTCTGCTTTGTTCGGTGCGCTTAACTGGCTTGAATCTAGTTACTGTAATGGTAAGTTGAATAAACTTTATGCACTATCACGATAGTCCCTATCTTATTCTAAAACCAAATTAACATAGGTTAAATGCTTTTATCATTTTAATCCCAGGTCCAACGTTTCACTGTCTTTATATATCTATTTTCTTCAAGTATTAAGCTTCCTTAGGTCTTACACGATAAGTATGGCTCAAAATTTGATCCGTTAACCCGAATGCAGTCCTTGATTTGTGTTACTATTTGATTTAGTCTCGGCAAATCGATAATGTATGTGTTGTACTTGATAAGCCTAATGATTTGTTAGTCGTGTGTATTATAAAAATGTGAAGGATATAACTGCTGCCTAAAACCGTTGTAAAACCCCAAATACATTAAGGTTTTAGAGGTGTTTACGGAAGGAAGTATTAAATTAAAATTAAAAATCAATTTATAAAACAGCATATCTAAAATCAGTCAGTTTGTTTTTAATTTTGCATTTCGTCTTATTCTAGTGTTATTGTGTTTCTGATCTCTGCATTTTTTTCCATATGAAGGCCGTATGGCGTTGGTTGTTGCAGCTGATATAGCAGTTTATGGTGATAAATCAGCTCGTCCTACAGGTGGTGCGGGGGCTGTAGCAATTTTACTCGGACCGAATGCTCCTTTGGTGATTGACTTTGGTAAGGTCTTAACTTTTAAAGATTTGTTGAGTAGGTACTATGGTGTTCCAGCTGTCTTATGAAGATTTATATGCTCAGTTGTTTTTCGTAGAGATAATGTTTTATGATATCACTCAAAATTTAGGTTTCCTTGATTGCAAGCATCTATTAGTTAGATAGTTGCTATAATCAAATTTGAACTGCATTCAAGATTATGAATGAGAGTTTTCATCATTTCTAGGAAAACGTTACATTTGGAACATTTAGTTTGTGACGAATTTTTACCGATCAACGAGTTTAATAACAATAAAATAACACTGCATCACGAACTTCGAGTTCCCAATATTAACACATTTGTTACTTTCTAGTAGTATACATCAATATAATAAAAACGCACTGGTTATCATTCATTATGGAGTGCCTAGTACTGCAATTGAAATTCCTTAACTATTATAGTGTTACAAATTCCACATGATAAATATGTTTATCACGTAGCTTTTACGAGTTAGCATTATGATGTTCTTTGTTCGTTATTGTATAGATTGTGTTAGCTTTTGGTTTGTAGATTTTATATCAGTATCATTCTAAAAACAGTTCTCTCTTTCAGCATGTTGGCGTTTCTTGTATAATAATCTTTAGAGTTTAGATATTTGAAGTATTCTGCGTTTTGGTGTTCTACTCAAAATTTTACTTCTTATATCAGTTCATTTCGTATACAAACAGAATTCGTTTTCTTCAAAAAGAAATATTATTACATTTGCTATGTCTTACTTTTTTTTCGCAAAATCCCTGCCGCCAATTGTTATATCTTTTGGCCTGTTTATTATCACGTTATAAGATCGCCAATCGAAACACGACTTATACAATCTTAACACTGTACTAAACCAATAATATGTTGACCGGCATATGAAGCCTGCAGTTCTTATTGGTCCTTTTCACCTAGCCCTGCCTATTTAGTCCAGAACACAATCTCAGCCTCCACTGTATGGTTAATGTATTTCGGACATACCTAGCAAACCAGACCGCATCACACCATAAATTGAAAAATGACATTTATATAAGATCAAACCAAAAGTGACTGAGTGTGAAAGACTGTAACTAATAGATTGGGGCTACCTTAAGGATATCAAATCGTATAACAATAGTCAGTTGGCCAAATGGAAGCTTATGATAAAAGAAATACGAATATCCATATATAATCTAGTTACTTAATAGTTACCCAATAGGAATATATGTAATAGTAGTTCATAAACAATTCCTAGTAGTTACCATCCATTTATTCTTCGTTCGGATATAGCAGAAATGGAATAGTAGCAATAATAAGTTGAACGATTAAGCCTTTGGAATAAGATTTGAAAAAAACAGATTATATAGGTATATATGATATTAGTGAATAGTGCAATTCAAGATCGAAAGATGAACAGTGGATGAAAATAGTTGATGCATAGTTGAAATGCTAGAAGTAGTGTTATCGTGTTTGTGTTGGAGATTGCCTTTAATTTGTTATCTGTATCAGCTGCAGTGATTTTGGGAGAATGGGTATATTGGCTCACCAATTTGTATCAATACGTTATCGAATTTTTTTTGATGAGTTGAGTTCGTAACAGGCTGAATTATACTTTCCTGTTCTGATCGCCGATTTGTGTTGGGCATTTAGCTCTATTATTTTATCAACTTTATGATTTTCATGATGTAGCCAAGTGATAGCTGCTCGTAAGGCCAAATTATTAACTTAAATCACTGAATGATTTGAAAAACGGCCAGATCACTAACCAGAAGAATAGGTTTCTTGTGTAAAAATAAATGACGTGGCTATTTATAAAGTATTAATACGAAGATTAACACAATAAAATAAATCCTGAAAGTCTTCATTAACTGCTAAGAAAAATTTAGGACCGATTGTGTTGGAAGAAATAATCAATTTTCGAGCAAAAATAGGCATATTCGGTTATAGGAATATAAGTGAATATTTTATATATGACTCGGATTTCAGTGTATTTATTATGGAGTTCACGTTATTTGGCTGCTTATAATTCATATCAATAAACGGTTATTCCTGCTCATAATCCACTTCTCAGTCGTTTTTCAGGATTGTATATCATGTGATCTCTAATCTTGTGGTGTAATTACCTAGTGTGTCTACTCTATTATCTAGTGTATCAAATCGTATTGTCTATTAGTAGGTGCATGTACGTGACACTCCTGTTTTTTCCAATGCTATAACAGAATATTATTGAAAAATCATCATAGAACACTACAAATCACTGCCGAGTTGTCTTGTTATATCTATCATATTGTTAAACTGATTTACTAGGTACAGATTAATGTACTTGGCTTGGAGTCACACTCTAAGCGCTTACAGCTAGTGATACTACCTGGATGCCCGGACAGAATTAGGTGCAGTTGGATTCGGGCCTACGACGTGGTCATATGTCTCAGCTGCTGAACTACCACTGCAGGTTAATCACTCTATGTAGTCAATATAAACAAATAAATGTATACCTCACTTAAATTACAGATCAATGTAGGTCTTTGTAAATGAAACAGTTTGTTATATAACAGTAATATTTTTAGCGTATAATAGGACTTTCATTACTGTCTTCATTTATTTTGTCAAGGTCTACGAGCTGTTTATATGAAACATTGTTATGATTTCTACAAGCCAAATTTAAGCTCTGAATATCCTATCGTTGATGGTCACTTTAGTATGCAGTGTTATCGAGAGGCATTAGAAATGTGTTATAAATTATATCGACACAAATCAGCTTCTAAAGGTAAACGTATTTTAATTTATTCTGAGTATGCTATTATTATTATTATTGGTACAATTACCACTTACTATTCAAAAATTATCTTATTGAATAACTACTTCCCATTCATCTCTATATTCTGTATGAAGATTATTGAGTTTCATTGAGGTCATAAACCGATCAACGTTAGACCACCATTCAGAACCTTTCGATATTACTTATTAATTAATATATTGATGACTTTATCTATTAATCGTCGATAAACAGTGTTATTCAACCAAACGTTTGCTGAACATTGAATAATCAGTTAGTAACAGTTGACTTCAATAGGGTTTATTAGACTGTTTATTGGCACATTCCAGTACTGTCTCTCATATTCAGTCACTGAACTCATATCCGAAGGCTTTTCCAATTTTCTGTTAGGTCTAGTTGAACCCATTCACGTTGTGATTATTTTACTTATATTTTACTCCTTACCATCAGTTAGAGAATACAAGGCTTATTGGTCGGTTTCGAAAGTATGAAGTGTAAGTGTAAACAAGCTGTACTGATGTGGTGATGAGATTGTGAGTGAAAACAATTTTATGACTGTTTTTAAATCGTTTCACCAAAAACCTTTCAGCGAGTCATTCTTCAATTCATGATATTCATTGTATGAATGATTTTCACGTATGTGAATATAAACTTTTTTGTGTACTTTGTAAAGTCAATTCTTCTTTATTTGTATTTACACAGTACTAGTTTGACAGTATCATTTTTAGATTTTATAAAATAAACTGTTTGTGATTCACATTTTAGGTCTCAATAGTATAATAACAACACCTTGGCGAGATACTTTACCGAAGGTGAACAATGCAGTAGACTATATATGTTTGCACGCACCATTTACTCGTCTTGTACAAAAAGCGATCGGTTGGTTAGCAATGATTGATATGCGTACAGAAGGCATTATTGCAGATACATCAAACAATTCTGATGTATTCTTATCATCTTCAAAAGCTGGTCAATTATGTCATAATAATCATCAAATGACGTCGAAATCAGAGTATTTTGATCAGATAGACCCATCTATTTTTAATGCTTTAAAAAATTACCGTTTACTTGATGATAAACAGTAAGTTAATTATTTCATGGTGATATTAGCAATTGTATTATTAGTAACAGTAGTAACGGTTTTCTATCATTTTAAGCTTCCCAATTAGTTTGAAAGTAGTTGATCTCATAATAATGTAGTCAGTCACTAGTTAAACAGTGACTTAAAATTCGCTTTAATCAGATGTTTGGATTTGAATGACCAAAACCTTTATAAATGAAAAAAACCTGTATGAATGAGGTTTACCACGTATACAAATATCAGGAAGTGGAACTTAGCCTCAGCCGTCCAGTCAGGACTAACTTTTTAGCTTTCAAAATTTAGTATTTTGAGTGTCGATTATTGAGAGGTGTTATCAGTTTTAACTTTTGACAAGTTCTGGAGTAGAATGGAGTAAAATAGTCGTTGGGTACTTTCTGATTTCTAGATTTAACTCTCACACACTAGATTATAGGTTCGGACTCCGCCCCGTCTACTTTATTTTGGGAAACGGGTTAAGGTTAGCATCAGTATCTTCCACATCTAGGGTGTGACTCGAAGCCAAGTAAACTGATCTGTATCATCTGGTAAATTAGTGCCCCTGATTTTCGAATGTTGCTTTCACTTTTATTCGGCGATTATGATTCGTGTATTGCTCACTGACTAACATTTTTGTTATTTACTTTAGTGTTCCTGATCGCCAGTTGGATACAATTTGTTTGAAAGCTACTGAATCGTTGTACAGGCGTAAAGTAGATCCTGGACTAATGTTCGCTAAAAATATTGGAAACATGTATACTGCTTCTCTATATGCATGTCTTGTTAGTCTTCTTCTTAAGTGAGTAGTTTATTATATTGTGTTGTTCTTGAAATTTTCCTCACTGAATATTTTGTTTGTGTATTAAATCGATCATTTCATTGGGAAACTAAATACAATACAACATTAAAAAAACACGAAGTTCAGCGAAGGGATCTTTTTTCAGTGAATTTATTAACGAGCTGTACAATCGTACTTATATGAAAATTTTGTTAAAGTATTACTTCCGTGAGTACATATGAACAAGAAATAAACACGATAGGGATAAGACGTACTTCTCTTGTACACACAGTTCTGCCTTCAAATCATGGAGCAAGAGCTTCTGCTGTTTTATGGAGTTGGGTACGAAAAAATCTTGCTAGGTTTCGACGAATTGTTTAAAGAACCTTAAAATCAACCTGTGGATTGGTGGAGTGATTAGAGTCAATTAAATGTTCAAGAATGAAACATATAACTGCTTTCCTCTCACCCTTGTAGAACCACACTGGGAAATGTTTTCGTATCCGATTTGAAAGCAAGCACTGGCGGTGGCCAATGTACCTTGTTTCGCAAGATCAGGCGATCTGGTAGATGCACATAGAGGTAAACAGATGAGGAAGCTTATCCTTTGCGGATACAGAAAAGTTCCTACTAGTTAAGATTGGGCCCAAAAGAGACTGTTGCGATCCCATCTCTCTGTCCATATATTTCATTGCTGAAACTGAACTGGACATTGAAGGTACAAGGTAACAAGAGTTCTTTGAAATGGTCAATCGATGGGCCTATATCTATGTTATTGGAATCAATATGATCACATATGTAACATAGTTTCAGTTATAGGTATTCTGGTGCACAGAGAACCACAGTCAAGCGAGAAAATGAGCTTTCCGGAAGTATTGGCATCCTTAATATTATCAGTAACACAAATCATTCATAACATATGTACGTAATAATATTCCTTCAATTAACCTAGAACCCATTTTCCAATAAGAGAATAAAGGGAAGAACAAAAGTTTTATTATAGCTAAGATTGACTCTGATATATTATGGAATCTGTGGGTACCTCAAGAAAAGTTTGATGTTTAGTTGATAATCACCTACTAAAGGTAAGTTTTCCTCCAGGGTTCTAGGTTCGACATCAATACTCTTAGATAGAAAAAATTTTGAGATGGCTTTTCGAAAAATCCATTTTCGACAGATTTTGATCGGATTTCCTGAAATTTTGCATAAAGAATGTTACTTAATTGTACGTACTGGTTAGGTATGTTCGCATTAATTATAGCTTTCATTGTTTAATTCAGGTTTGTTTGTAAAACGTAAGTTATAGTTCTTACTGATTGGCAGGATTTAGCTTACAAACATTGGAGTTGCAGAACTATGTTTGATCAATCGTTGAATTGAATGAATTGATGCATTAAAATGTAAAATTGGTTTTTGTTCTGATTTTCCTATGTATATGTTTATTCCGACGTTTCATCCCACGGATTGATTTTGGTTAAACAACAATTGAAGGCTGGAATCAGTGTACACTGAATGATGGTCGTAAAATATCACCAGTTAAATGATATTAGGACCTGGACTCTTAACCTTTTACCTTCTGACTACTGGGTCAGTATACAATGGTCCATATTTCTAACTTCAGCAAATTTAGTTTTCATATATATATGTACCAATGTAAACTGTTTAAAAAATAATTGTCAAGAATATTTATGAGTTTAAATGTTCACTGCTGGGTTTAAAGGTCCTCAATGTGGTCATTGCTATACTTTACCGTGGAGTTTCGTAATAGGACGAATCAATTGTCCACTGCTTCCTGGCCTTCACTTGTTGTTTAACTAAGATCAGTCTGTGATGTGTAACGTCAAAATCAATAATCTCCTCAACGCCCTATATTTGCATATTTTCTCGATTTTCACATTCTTGTTTCTATAGTATGTTGTTAGTTGATTTGACTATTTTGAGAACTAGGTCTTCTTTAAATCTAAAAACTGAGGATATTTTTGCTTGTATTAAGTTTACATCTCCAATTTGTGTATATTAAGAAAAGAGTATAGAAATGATTTTTTTTCTTTTTTCAAAAAGTCATTTTACGTGACGGAACAGTTAAACAAATATTCCACAATGAAAAATTGAAATTTTCGTTGTCTGATTTAAATTTCGAAAAATACGTTTTTTGAGTTTCATTTTACCCATTAAAATTAAAACTACTAAGATCTGGGGTTATTCTTAACTGAATGTTTATACGTTACTTTAGAATATAATCAACAGTTGTTTGTTTTATGGATTGTGATACTTTGCCATATATTTTGTCCATCGAATCAACCTGCTTATCACAGCACTTATATAATCTCAGTGAAGTTGAATAACTTTATTGAGTTATTTACTTCACATAAGACCATTTACATACCAACCATTTGTATTTAACTTTGAAGGATACTGGTTTTTAAATAATTTTCTGGCACACAGTAACATGAAAAAAATTGCCAAGATAAATTAGTTATGTAATTTAATAGATTAGTTACATTTTTTAATTATATCAGTTTAACCTTAAGATATTGTAAATTGTGTGCTGAATAATTATCGAGCCCAATTTATTGAAATCAGATTATTAATAAGTGTTGATAAAATATTTTAAAATCAGTGCATTCAGATATGGATTACAGTGTATAATAAATCTTCATCTGTTGTCCTTTCCTTCCATCTTTCATCTAGTTACACCAGTATTTTGTTCAGTTATAACAGGATCAGACATGATTTATATCAAGAAAAGCTATATGAAACGGTGAAACTGAACTATAAGGTCATTTCAATAAAGAAAGATCATATCGTTTCATAGTCACGGTATATATATCAGAACACAATTTTTTCTATCACACATAAACGGCTAATGACGAAAACGTCTTTAAAAGCTAGGGTTTGGATTTAAGATTTAGTGTTTGAATTAAGATAAGGATTTAGACGAATAGTTCGCGATTCAGATGAAAGTACATATAAACTAACCGTAAAACAACCGTAAACTTTAACCACAGTCGTTAATCCTAATCTTATATTTTAAACTCCACCTTTCTAACCATAAATTATTCACTCACAAATTTAACTCACGGGACTGTGATGTAAACTAGCTAGATATTCAGTAATAAAATTTAATGAGGCAAAATATATATTGATATTTATTAGTACAACAGTTGAACTAGTAATTAATACTTTGTAAGTCAAACAGTGGACAACATAATATTGAAAGAACAGAATACTGTAAGACTATCTATACAAAGAATGATAAGTATTAACTTCATTGTCTATTGTCGATGTTCACATCAAACGACAAACATACAGCATACTTCCTACTCATAAGTACGATCGAACACAGATTCATTGAAGATAATTGGAACGAAGATATCAATATTAGTACAGATACCTAGAAAAACCAATCCGTTTACTCCATTCAACGTCTGACTACAAAACAGTCAGTGTCGGTCTTGTGTAATTATTTTGGTTGTGAAAAGTGCACTACATACTTGCGAACACTGATCATTCATGATTAAGCGTGATTTTGACGGTTTCTGAATTCATATACACCTATATGCATGCTTAACCTAGTTCTCACTTGAGGATATCAATACTTATTCTACAATCCACATATTTTTACACATCTTTTCTTCATCATACTATCAATTTACAAAACTCATTACCACCACTGCTACTACTACTACTACTACTACTACCTATTAATCGCACACAGTAGTAAATTAAATGATGACCAGTAAGATAAATAGTAGCCCATGCATATTGAACATGGAAATCTAGTCATGGTAACAATATAAAACAAGCAACTAGCTTTCAATACTATCCTAATTATTATCACTATTATTATTATTGTGTTACTATGACTGACAAAAAATATCATGCGAATAACAATTAGGGCTATTTTAGAGTATAATTAAGAAACATGCATTTAACGTTGAAACATATTTTAGGTTGAAATAAGAACTGTGATATTTTTCTTACCTGTTATTCTCAGTTAGTTCATAATTCTTTAAACTGTGAATTGTTGAAAATATACTGTTTGCAACTGCTTGATACTATTTATCTATTACATTTCAACATAATAAGTATAAAAGGTTTACCAGCGGTATTGATGGGACCGTATATAGACAACTAGTGATCAAAAATATTTGACTTTTCGTGTAATTAATCAAATGTATATGAAACAAGGTCATCTGCATGGGTTCATTGGTATTAATTTTAACAAATACCCAAATCAGCCAACAGAATAAGAGTCAATTATTTTATTTCACAAGTTGAAATCATGAGTCAGTTGAAGCTAGACCACCATTGAAAACCTGGAAGCACTGGACGGCCGTTTCGTCCTAGTATGGGACTCCTCAGCAGTACGCATCCACGATCCCGCACCACGCGGGGCTCGAACCCAGGACCTACTGGCTTCGCGCGCGAGCACTTAACCATTAGACCACTGAGCCGGCATCCAACGGTGTTAATGTCTAACTTCAACCAATCCACGAAGTTGCGCCATCGAACACCAATGTCTTCAGTGAGCTGATATCTCACAACAGACCTGGTTGAACTCCACTGGTGACTCATGATTTCAACTTGTGAAATTTACTAAAATCTCCACAAAACTCATTCTGATAATTATTTTATTGTCAAAGAAATCTTCCAATATACTTGTTTCCCAGTTGTAATTTTCCGTGTTTGATGCAGATTGGTATATATCTTATTCATATATCCCGACTGTGGCTCACACTTGCATATTGTGATGATTCAATGTAACCATATTCGGTAAAATAACTGCTCCGTTATGACCTACTATCCCAGGCTGGTCGGTCGGAGAGTGAATTCTAAAAGCAGAAAATAATAGGTCTCAATAAAAATTTATTCTGATGACTGTATTGGGATTTGTTGTCCGTAGGGCGTCTTCACCGGACATCAAGCATCTACTTTCTCAAAATAAAATAAAACTTTTAAAAATATCCTTCTTGAAGTTAGCGTACTCAACCTCAGTCCACGTACTTCCATTGGGATCGATAAGGCTTGAAAAGTGCGGGGCTTACACCCTACGAACTTCACGTTAAAGAACCACGTGTGGCTGCTGTAAAGCAGCTATCGTTTGGGCGTTGCTATTACACTTCCATGTCACCAAGATTACCCCTAACCCAGTTTTCTTTCCAGGTCCTTCAAGAAGAAATATCTTTTCATGGTGTGAACAACCGGGCGATAACAACAGCTCTCATACCTCAAATGGCACTTCGGACTTATTCACGTGTGAATGGATTACTGTTAACTCAATGTCCTCAGTTCTACTTTTTTCTCTCTTATTCTTAGTACTTCAAAAGCTGAACTATTAGGACGTCGTATACTAATGTATTCTTATGGTTCTGGAATGGCATCAGCTATGTACAGTATTCTTATCCATCCAGATCGTGATTTATCCACAATTTTGAATTGTTCGCTAGAATCGTCCAATGGTTTGTCTAATATTCACAAACGTCTATTTGATGAGCGAACTCAAGTGACTGTTTCGCAATTTGAACTAATGCTTAAAGAACGAGAACTTTCACATAATTCAGGTAAGTACCTTTTGTATATATGTAATATAATCATAATTTTAACCCAAGTAGTAATTAATATTTGTCGAATAATAATAAAAAGTTTGACTTAGTAGTAAAGACTTAGTGCTATTGTTTTAGTTAACAATAAAAATAGATGTTCTCGTTTTCTTGGATTGTTATTCATGTGTGCATATATCTGTATGCCTTCACATCATCAACTGATCATAGTTAGAAAACGATTAAAACCAAGAAGCACTGACACAGCTGTTTCGTTTTGGTATGGAACTCCACAGTAGTGCTTTCCCACGATGACATGATATCAACTAAAAACATAGACTCATGTTAAAAGTGTATACCTATGAATTACATCTCAATGGTTTAAAGATTAAGAGCTCTCTGAAAAATATAAAGCTCCTGAGTTTGATCTCAGATTGGTCTTCGAATACACACTGTAGATAATCGTTTTCTAACTATGATCAGTTGATGACGTGAATTTTGAAACTTAACAGCCTTCACAAATCTCTTAAGCTCAATAAATCTAACTAACTAATTATTATTAATGTAGTGCCCAATAAATATAGCGATGAATGTAAGCGAACTGTTAGTTGTGAAATTAGTTTCAACTTAATATGAATATTAAATAATAAATGTTTCGTAAAATGGCTCCGGTTGGATGTCGTTACCTGTTTTCAAACCATGTGATTAATCTTAATAGAATGTTCTACAACAGATCGGTTTATGAATTAGTACTTTAAAAACTACATATTTTATATTCACACCAAATGTCTTTGAAAATATTCTTTTAACATTTATCAGTTTCTTCATAACTTATTTTGTGAATACTGGAATGTCCAATCCTTTATAATTTCATAGATTTACATTCGTTTGTGAATTTTCCCCTAATGTGTATTGAAAACAAAGTCGAATTATTGTTAAAATGATATCGTTAACTGGTACACGACTACCCAAACGAAACAAATCCATAAATTGAACACATCTTACAGAATAGATCAATAGTCGTTTGTAGTGGAATCTGAAACGCACTCCTTATTCCCTTTCGGACGTGCCAACTAAATATACGTTCATTTCAGTGTTGATGTTCAGATTGGGGCTCAAATCCTTACAATTAAAAGGATTGTTGAGCAACGGTTAATTTTAATTTTCGAAATTTTTCATGAAGTGACGTTAGTATTCATTTTTTAAATAGTGATACGAAGTGATTGGTCAATCATCAGCCTGAAGTTATATAGATTATGAATTTAACTTAGCTATCACGCTAGTGATTTTTTCAATGTGAAAATGAACTAGACTTAATTTTTTACAGATAATTTACCACCATTTTCATCATTTAGAGTCATGTATCCTTTCAATGTTCCTTTATTTAGTTTTTTACGGTATATTAAATTCATCCTGATGACTCACTCGACAAGATCGAATGAAGTCAACCAGTCATCTTATTTTAGTTTCTCTGACTATATGGGTCAACAACTATTGATTTCAGTTATAAACATGTATTCAAGGTGGAACAGCCAGCAACGATAGTTGATATAGTGATTTCAAACAAGATAGCAATCATTGAATGAATGATAATTATGTCAGTAATAAGCTAGCTAGTTTACATTCAATAAAATATGAACATGGACATTTTGTGGTAAATGAATTAACTACTCATAAGTAGGTATATGGAGGATACACAAATCTCTCAAAACGTTCCGCGTCCATTACCAAATGGCAATGGCTAATACTGTAGTCGATTTCATAGTAAATAATTTATGTTAAGAAGCGGGAAAAGTTTAAATCGCTAAAATAAAGCTTTTAAAACCTAGTTGTTAAACTGCTGTGTAATTTGGAAGTTTGTGTGTATGTTGTGTCAAAAATTTGACTTTAAAATCACACCCTACTTGGAATTCCAGTGTCGTTTTCAAATTTTCATAAAAGTATCTTTTGAAATTGTCTTTTTTGATTCAGTGGTTTGGTGGTTTGTGCATTCGAGCTTGAGCCACTGTCACTGGCTCGGACCCCGCCCTATCTATATCAGTTGGATCTACCATATGGTAAGATCACCAACTCTCACACGTAGAGTATGGATTATGGTCAAGCATACGGATCTGTACCTGGTACATACATTTATAATCATAATAATGATTTCCAACTTACATAGATAATTCAATTGTTGTTTTACTTGTATCTTCTCATTGTTATTTATTCCCGTTATTTATTGCACAAGCAGGTGGCTATCAGGACTTAGTAGTTAAGTGGATAACGCGATGGCGTTTGAAACGAATGGTACTGGGTTCGAGTCCCGGAGTGAACATCAACTCTGGGGTGCGGGCACATCCAGCTGACGAGTCCCGAATAGGACGGAACGCGCGTCCTGGATTCCACTGTTAGCCACTAACCATCTTTGCTTACATAGATGATGTTTAGACTATATGATCTTAATTTCAGCTCCAATTGAACCAACATTTCGACCTGAAGGACTGTTTCCTGGTTCATATTATTTGAAGAATGTAGATGATCGTTATCGTAGATTTTATGAAAAATTATCAGAATGTTAAATGGTAAGTTAGAAAAATGTATCTTGCAATAATTTTTGTATCATTCAATTTCAATTTATCAACGTAAGTTCACTCAAAATGTTGTATAAACTGTCAAAAGTCTGTTGGAATAAAAAGGTTACCTATGCCTACATTTAGATACATTACCATGATAAAAAGCTCATTAACTTGTTTTAAATTTCAAACAAACACTTTAAAGTTTGAATTGACTAAGAGGAGTTTTTAGATTGATGAAAGTGAGATATTTTCTCACATTAAAGTTGGGGTTGTACTCTTTTCTCGTAAAATTCTCTGTAGTTTTATCACTTTTTCGAACTGTCTCATCATTTACAGAAGGAGCTATTTCAAAGTAATTTGACAAAATGTAAAGATCTGGGTCTAAACTGTTGGAACGATAGTGAAATCAGTCGTGCTGATTAATTTAGTAGTAGATTCGAAAACAACTGAGAGCTAGCGAAGTCAGTAACTGTTGATGCAAGCCATGTTTCCGTGCGAATGGAGGGAGTTGATGCTCCAAACCTTTTGGTTGTTATCTAATCAACGATCTCAAATAATATTTAAATATAAGGAAGTGAAGACTTCCTGGAAATCGTTTTGTCGGGCTCAAAATCATTTCCTTTCTTTGTGTTTTAATATTATCTGTTTCTACATAGTTCATTCTTTCACAGCCCTTCTTCGCGAGTCATATCCTCATGTTTACAATCAGTAAAATGATATTATTTTTGCATCTTTGGAATTCATGTTGCTCTAAATTTCCTTTGATCATACTGATATGATTTGGCAACTTGCATCTCTGTATATCAGATTCCGCGTTAATGACTACTAACTGATTCGTATTCCTGTTCTTCTTTCACAAAAACCTATAGTTTAACGGATAACTGTTGGAGAAAATAACTCAAACCATTCGATCATTTCCAGTTTTCATTTCAACCTAAAATATGTTTCAACGTTAAATGCATGTTTCTTAATTATACTCTAAAATAGCCCTAATTGTTATTCGCATGATATTTTTTGTCAGTCATAGTAACACAATAATAATAATAGTGATAATAATTAGGATAGTATTGAAAGCTAGTTGCTTGTTTTATATTGTTACCATGACTAGATTTCCATGTTCAATATGCATGGGCTACTATTTATCTTACTGGTCATCATTTAATTTACTACTGTGTGCGATTAATAGGTAGTAGTAGTAGTAGTAGTAGTAGCAGTGGTGGTAATGAGTTTTGTAAATTGATAGTATGATGAAGAAAAGATGTGTAAAAATATGTGGATTGTAGAATAAGTATTGATATCCTCAAGTGAGAACTAGGTTAAGCATGCATATAGGTGTATATGAATTCAGAAACCGTCAAAATCACGCTTAATCATGAATGATCAGTGTTCGCAAGTATGTAGTGCACTTTTCACAACCAAAATAATTACACAAGACCGACACTGACTGTTTTGTAGTCAGACGTTGAATGGAGTAAACGGATTGGTTTTTCTAGGTATCTGTACTAATATTGATATCTTCGTTCCAATTATCTTCAATGAATCTGTGTTCGATCGTACTTATGAGTAGGAAGTATGCTGTATGTTTGTCGTTTGATGTGAACATCGACAATAGACAATGAAGTTAATACTTATCATTCTTTGTATAGATAGTCTTACAGTATTCTGTCCTTTCAATATTATGTTGTCCACTGTTTGACTTACAAAGTATTAATTACTAGTTCAACTGTTGTACTAATAAATGTCAGTCTGTATTTTGCCTTATACATTTTATGATCGCACCATTTCTCTGATGTGTCCTAATATTTAGCCGTTTTTCAGTGGTTCCGTTGTTTAAATTTCAACCACTAAGCCACTAACTGTAACTAAACCATACATGCGTTTGCTTGCCTAACCGCTTCCTGTTATTAGCATTCTCACTTATAATGCTCTCGCTTAAAATCTGCTACGCTAATTCGTATGCAGTACGTGAGTTAAGATTAGAGATGTCTCGTTACTAAATTATCATGACTATATGGAACTGTAATTATTCACCATTCTCCGGGACTCTTATGTCTGCTATTGAAACTATCAACTATCTTCACTCTTTTCAATGTTTGTGATAAATAGTATAATATATTCTGAAAATAATAATTACAGAATTCACGCCAGTTTACAGGCATGGTCGATTTGATATAAATAGTAACATTTGATGTAGAGAACAGACATGTGATATAAGATCGTTTTAAGTATATTAGTTCAGTAATTGTTAATGTAGTAGATGTGTTATAGCGATCCAGTGCATCAGCCGGGAAGTTTTAATTTTTCTTAACTGGATAGCCTGTTGATTTATGAACGGTGTAATTAAGGTTATTCCTGTGCCAGATCGAATTATTGATAATTATCTACAACTAGAGAAAGTAAAACAAAAAATAGAGAGCACGGAACAACAATGTAATCATTACTAAAATATGTCAATTAGGTCTACCAGAATGCATATGTCATGTGGTACATTGATATATTGTTGATGTTAGATATTATTCAAATTAGTTAAGGTTGCTAGATACAGTGTTAACGTAAAGTGACACCAGGCAGCTGGTTTTACTTAAACAATTCACTAATAATAATATCACTTATGGAATAAGATACACTTACAGGTGCTAGAACATTCAGTGCATTTTAAGAGGAACAATATGCAATAATGCAGCGAACAAATAATGGGAGTGATGTTATCGTACGGATAGATCATGGTAGATTATTTCAGAGTCTAGAAGATTTACAGGTAAAGTAATTCATGTAGAAAGATGATTTAAAATAAGTTTGTTTCACTAGTGACAAGGAGTTTTGGTTGTCGTAATGAGAAGTTTCTGCATATTGAATCACTTGATTGGATGTAAAGGATAGTTTATTAAGTATTTTGAAGAAAAAGGTAAGATTTAGTTTGAGTCTCCTCTTCCATAAAGGGTCGAGCCCAAGTTTATTTCATCTAGAATTATAAGTCAAGGTACAATCAGTTCCAAGAATACGAAATGTAAGTCGTCTCTGTACTGATTCCAGCCTTAATTTATCCTTTATGCGCGCACTACTAAGAGTAAACGTGCAGTATTCTAGGAGTGGTCGAACATGAACTTTGTACATTAAAATACGTGACTGATCGTTATAAAGGTTTCGATTTATGTAACCTATAAGACTTTGAGACTTGGAGGTCTGTTTCAATATCGGTTCTTTAAACGACAAGTCATAGGAGTATCTAAGTCTACCACTGTATTTAACCTAGATAACAGTTCGCCATTTATGGTAAGATCTAAGTTGAGTGATGTATCGCCGAAGCATATCCATCCACATTTAGCTGTATTAAGCCCCAGTTGCCATTTTAAGCACCACTGTGCTAACTTGTTAAGCTTCATGCTGATGCAATTTCGCATATTTTTTTAGCTCACGTGGAGAAAATGAATACACTACTTTAAGATCATCTGCGTATAGAAAGGGCTTATCCACACAAAAACTTTCCCAAATATCATTGATAAACACTAAAAAGAGCAAAGGGCCTGAGACACTGCCTGGTATTACACCACTTCTCACAGGGACAGTGCTAGACAATGAAGAGTTAATTTTAACTATTTGGTATCGATTGCTGAGAAAGGAATCAGGCCAAGCAAGCAAAGGATTTTGAACCCCATAAGATGCGAGCTTACCTATAAGAAGTTGGTGGCTAACCATGTCAAAGGCTTTAGAAATGTCCAGGTATAGCACTAAGATTAGATATCTTTGGCTACGTCAGGAATAGACTAAAATAAAGAAGTCAAAATGACATGTCATACAAGGTCGATTTTTAAGAAATTCATATTGAGTATCATTGATAGATTTTCCAGCGAGTAATTAGTTGGAAACTTCATTATTAATAGTTTTTTCCATAATTCTAGAGATAACTGGAGTAATATTCATCGGCCGATAATTGTTACTGTCAGTCTTATCTCCAGATTTGTAACGTGGTATAATGTACGCGGTTTTCTAACAGTGAGGGTAAGAACCTGGTTCCATAGAGAGAGTAATTGAATGTATAAAACTTGATGTATTTGATAAATGTGACTAGTCTAGTTGAAAATAACTATGTTGACCATACTCTTCTGCGTACTTTTGTAATGCGTTAGTAAATATGAAGTCAAAATGTTGAATTTTTTAATGACAACGTTTTTCTGTAGACGTTTTGGTCGCATTTACAATATTTTGATAATATACTGAAGTCATTAGTCAATAGTTTTGTAACATGATTTGAATTGTAGCAATGGTTTAATGGTTACAATATCTGGATATTAATTGTTAGGTTGCAAGTTCAAACGCTGTTTCATTTAATTCACCATTAGCCTTAAAATCATGTATGTAGTTCATGGCTGGCTAAAATAAAAAAAATATATATACTTATCCAACAAAGTTATAATACAAGTGGAAGAAAGGACTTTCATGCAATGTAATAGACCTTCACATACATATCACAATTTTCACAGTTGAAACCACGAGCAGATCGAGGCTGGACCACCATTGACAACGTGGAAGCACTGGATCGCCGTTTCGTTCGTGTATGGGACTCCCCAATGGTGCGCATCCACGGCTCCGCACGCAAACACTTAATCTCTAGACCGCAAAACATCTGTCAGGTAATTCCAGGTTTTGAATGATGGTCTAGCTTAGATCAATTCATGAAGTCAACTGTGGAAAATACTACAATTTTCACAAATCCTGATACATACTAATATGTCTTATACAAAGACGAAACATATACTCAACACATTCCGATTTTTCCACTGATGCACCTGAATAATATCAGTTAGTGTTGAATACACTCCCTACAAATGAAGTACATAGATTTAAGTAATCAACATGTTTATTTTTCATTCAGATTGTTAGTAATTTCGTTGATTATGTTTTTTTCAGTTAACTATACTTAAATATCTTATTTTGTTTCAACCATTTTCTCTCCATTTTATGAGGATTTCACCATAATTTTGGTACTCTCTGTCTATCAAGATTTATTGTAAAGAAAAAAAACAAACAAAAAAAGTAGGCCTAAATGAAACAGTGATTATTTCAGTTGAACTCTTTTCATATGTATGTTTAATTAAAATGAAATGTAATTAGCGCAATTCTTTATGAGTTATTGTTTTGTCGGAACATCAATCATTACTTGTCAATGATATCTTTTTTTATTGTTTTGTTTTAAAAGAATGAAAATTGAAGAAATGGGTAATAATTCACCAATTTCTCTCTTCTTTTCTCACATACTTGCAGTGTATTCTTCGCTTTTCTTCTCAATTTTGTCTTTTTACTTAAATAGTCAAAGAAATTTAGTGTATTTGTGTTGTTTTCATGGATTTTGGTTCGTTTTTTCTGTGTGCATGTGTTGTAATGCATGAAATGATGAAAAAGACTGTGCATATATGCT